CCGCCGCCTCGGCAGGGGGCAGCTCCCGGCTCCGCCGCCGCCCCTCGGGCCGAGCGAGGGGGCGAGGGGCCGCCCCGGGGTCGGGGCCGCGGGCGGGACCGGCCCCCTGACCCGCGCGAGGTCTCGGAGCGGAGTGTGGCGCTGCCGGCGGGGGGCGGCGGGCGGCAGCACCCTGCGGAGCCCGCTGATCGAGCGGCCGTACCCGCGGAGGCGGTCCCGCGCCCGGCCGCCCCGCACCACCCGCCGATCCGCGGCCGCGCGCCCGGCTCCGCGCCCGGCCCCGAGACCAGGGAGCCGAGAGGCGGGCGGCGGAGCCGTCGGTCGAGCCCCACGGCGCAGCGGGAGCGGCCGCGGGGCCGGCCGGGGAGCGCCGAGCGGAGGCCGAGGAGCCGCGGAGCGCGAGGGGCCGGGGGGAGCGGCGGGATGGCGCCGGGGGGCCGAGAACGCGGGGAGGCGGCGCGGGTCGCGGTCTCGGGGAGTAACGAGGGGGCGAGAGGAGCGCGGTCGTGCCGCAACCTCCACCCGGGAGCGGGCGCCGGGGAGGCGGAACTGGGGCGCAGAAGCCCCGCATCGCCTCCCGCGGACTCGGAGCCGCCCGAGCAGCGCGTCTCGCAGCTCTCCCGGGAGGCGCGGCCCCGGCCCCGGCATCGCCGCCCCGCGCTCGGGAACCGCCGGCCGTGCCAAAGCCGTAGGGTCTGTGTGCGGAAAGTGCCACGTGTGAGTGTGTCGGTGAGTTCTGCTGTTCATGAGTGCTAGCGTGAACGTACATTTGAATTAATACTTAATTTGCGGCATCTGTTTTAATAATTTCAGTATTTTGAAGTATTTGCAGTATTTTGCCAAATGCTTACAGTAGGCGCTTCTTGCAAACGCAGTAATTATTTGTAACTAATTTAGCGTCTTCTCTGTACTTTGCAACTGGGTTTGAACTCTTTTATGATGAACAAGAAAAGGAATTGCATTTACCCTACCAGCACAAAATTTTACACGTCCTTCTATAAAATAGTATGGAAATGTACACGAGAGCTTTAATTCACCTTGTTCACCAAAGCAGCATGTAGGTAATGTCTCAATTTATAGCTAAATATGGCTTCAACAACACAATTTCTCTAGAGGGAAAAAAAAAAAAAAAAAAAAAAAAGAAAAAGAAAAAAAAAGAAAAAGTATCTAAGAGAGATAAGAGAGAGAAGGAGAGCTCTAAAAGCAGTTTGTAAAACTCCCCAGTCATTCAGTGAATTGTATCCATTTTTACTTGTTAACTCATACATTCAATGAGATTGAATATGGACCTGGAATGAACAATTGCATGGCCATTAACCGTGCTAAACTACTACAGAACAGACGTAATTCCTTTTCTTCTAGGTTATATTTCCCTGTTGTATTTCAGTTGCCTGAGTTTGACCGAACACCCATGGTATTTTACCATATTGGGTGCTAAATTCTATGAATGCAATGAATTGGCTGTCGCTTCATTTTTTTGGTGCCATATATATAGGGAGCAGAGGTGCCTCATTATGCACGAACAGAACATTACCCACAGCTAAGAGTTAGTGTCCCAGCTGCAGTGCAGCACAGTGCTGAGTGCCTACAAGCCACTTCCACTTATTTATCGACGTTTCTGATTTTCTTCAATACTGTGTGAAATAAACATATGGGAACAACAACAAAAGGTCACAATATGAAAGAAGTGTGCAGCTATGTTTGGTGTACGCTGTGATGATGGCACACGCATTAAGAGTGGTTGTCAGTCCTTCTAATACCTGTTTCACTTGGCTGTCATTACAATGATTTCTAAACCAGTCAAATCCATGAAGGCACATTCTACCAGACAACAGTTTTGCATTTATAAAGAGTCAAGAGATATCTGGAAACGTGCCCACCTTGCCTAAGAATATGATAAAATAAAAATTGGTAGTTGAATATATGTTTACCTGAAAGAAGTTTGAATGTTAGTGGGAGACATACTGACCTACATGGTGGTTTGTCCTGAGCCGTTCTCAGAAGGGAAGCAGGCGGTGTGCTGGGCTGGTGGGTGCCTCACAGAGCTACTTGAGGATGAGCTGCAATCGATCCCACAGTTCTGTTTGAACTATGTTGAAACACGTGGCCAAAACTCACAGTTATTGAGTATATTAAGTGAATAACAAAGTTATTTCACTTAAAAGTAACTAAAAAATAGTTCAAGGCATTGATGGCTCACGTAACCGAATTGGGAAGCAAGCTGTTACCTCTAAAAAGGGCAAAAACTCTCCACAAAACACGTTTCTCATTTTTTTGAGGAGTCAAAGGCAGGATAGGATTAACTGTGTCCACGTAGCATCACTTTACTAAGGACAAAAATATTTCCTCTTACTGGAATGTATTGCTGCTACCCTTGATTCAGATCAAGGTCTAAATCCTGAAATTGCTTGTTACTCTAAGCACATGAGGAGGCCCCACAGGAACTATTCACATGTGAAAAGAGCTAGGACCAGAGCCAAAGTTTTGCATACTGTGAAGGTCAAGCTTGTTTCCTTTGTAAGACTTGCACTTTAGAGAAAAACTCTCCGAAATATGGTTTCCATACAGAAACTTCAGCTGATTCTTCTCCTTCAGTCGTCGGCCAGGATGCTGTATGTGCTGTGGCTGATTTAGAGCAGTTTGTGTAATTCTGGCCCTGTGACTATGGTGCTGGCTGGCTCCAGGCGCTGCCTTGCAGCTCTGGGTGCTGTCCCTGCCTTTCCCGGATCTATTTTTCTGTGTTTTCTATGTTTTCTGTTCACACTGACTTTTTGTAAACTTCCCAGAACAAAAGGAGAAAAGCCTCATAGATATTATACAACTGTTGGCTTTAGAGCTGTTATAGAATAACCCCTTCAAAAAATGCACTGGCCCTGCGGTGAATTCTCAGCATTTTTGCAGAGGTCGTACAAAATATATTGCTTGAGCGGCCGTACTTTGGCCACTCAGATAAGTCACAGGGAGACCACAGCAGATGACGGTCTTCAGGAAATACTGTAATTCACTTTTATGTTTCTATGCAGGAAAATAAGAGACAAAGCCTTCCCTTGACTACTGGGGAGGGGATACATGTGGAGACTGGCATAGGGAACGAAAGGGAGCTGCTCTTGCAGGAGTGACAGATAAGGTTGGAGGTCTTTCTGCTGAAGGCCTTGCGTAGCTTTGCTTTGTTTCTTTTTGTTTCTCTTCAGAGCAACAGAAGAATGCAGAAAACAAATTGTAACTGCATTTTACTACATCTTTTAATAGGATTTTGCCTCAGTCCCAAGTTATTCTCTGTGCACATATTTGAAAATTAGTTTCCATTTTCTCCTTTTTCCATCATGCTCATTTAATGGAAATGTAAAATAAATTTCACTTGGGATCCCTGAACTCTAGAACTGTTTTCACTTCTCCTTTTTGATAATAAATATTCCCTAGTTTTACCTTTTGTAGGAGCAATCCTTACCTAGATTGCACCATACTTCATAAATGTCAGTTGATACTCTATCTGGACTTAACACTGAATACAGTGGTTCTTTTACAGTTTCCTCCATTGCAGTGAACTGTAATTTATAATGGCTGATTAACTTTTAAAAAATATTCGTAGAAAACCTATTTTTGCCAAGAAATTTACAAATCACTTTTTTTCCCCACTCAGATTCATAAATACCTGAAATGCGAGCTAATTGAAAACCTGACTTCAGAGGAGCTGGAGCAGAACTGCCATAAAACGTTCTGCTGCAATCATATTTTTACACCACTAAAAATATTGCTATCTATTATCAAATGAATACAGTATAAATTAGAAATATCAAACAGAGATGGCTACAGCCACAAATCTAGATGAACAACTGCCATGTGGCAACACGTACGTATTGCTGTCATTCCAAGAGCTGGAGACACCATGCATCTACAGCCAATGTGTAGGAAGTTCAGGCTGTATGGCTTTAGTAGCATTACGATTTCATGAAGCATCCCTCGCTGGGTGAGAGCCAGGTACCAGAGGTGGTTATTGTCTTGCAGGGTTGTTGCCAAAATGGTTACAATATGGAACTTAAGAAGTCCAGTCCCTAACAGCAGCAGGTAGAACATACAGACTTCATCATCCCAGTTGTCAAGTGACACTGTTTTATAAATGTCATGAATAATGTATAAAACAACTTATTCTTTATACTGAACATTTTGAGAGTTCACGCACCCACCCCAGAAGGGCTTTGGGATGGGAATGCAAGACGACAAGCTAGAAAGATTCAAAGCAGAACACAGTGCACACAAAGGAGTTTGTGAACCCAGCTCCCTGCTTAATTACACGAGAGCCGGTCAGGAGCCATGCCAGCAACAGTA